TCGCAGGCCGCTCGATACTGGTCGATGCCGGGCCACTGGTGGCATCGAGGCAAAACGAGCGGGGGCGGCTGGCGCGGAAGCATGGCCCCTCCCACTCCTGGGGAGAATAGGCAGGACGAGGGAAGGGAGAGGAGCTTGAAGGTGAGGGAGCCGAGGGAAAGGAGTGAGACCAGGGAGGAGGAGGAGCAGCAGCAGTAGGGGGAGGACGAGGCTGCTGCTTCAATACTGTCGCATGCCGCCAGCCGTGCTGAGAGATATTAGGCCAGCAGAATACGACGAGATGGACGAGAACTAGGAAGCTGGACCTTCTCCTTGATCAGCAGCAGGACCTCCATGAGAGCGTAGTTGATGGACACTGCCTCTGGAAGCGAGGCAAAACCCTTCTCCCCCAATCGTGTTCCTCAACGTTTCCGCGCGGGCCCCGTCTGAATCTGAGACTTACGGCTGGAAGCTTTTGCCTAGCGTGTCGTGGCGGCGGCCCTGGCGACACGCTGTGCCATGCGAGCGGGTAGCGTGTCGGTCCGCTCCGCGGGCTGGGAGGGTCGGAAAGGCTCGGGATGTTGACGCCTGTGGACTGGAGTGGGGGTGATACTGCGTGTCGCGCCGAGGCGTGGTAGGCCAGAGCCGGCGATGCGGCACGCTATTCAAAAGTGCCTGTCCGTAGGCGCCCCCATCCCCAGAAATGAGTGTGCGTGCCTCGTCGGACTCCTAACGCTCCACTGGCTTCTGCGGGCGGTCGGTGGATGTCTGCCCGCGCTATCTCGCTGTCCACGACCGCGCGACCCGTGCGCCCCACCCTGCCCCTGCACCGACCACCTCCTGCTGTCGACAGGGGCCTCCTGCTCCTGCTCCTGCTCCTGCTCCTGCTCCTGCTCCTGCTCCTCCTCCTCCTCCTCCTCCTCCCTCCCTTTTACTTCTCCTTCCCCTCCTCCTTCCTCCTCCTTTTTCCTCCTACCCTACCTCCTCCTCCTCCTCCTCCTACTCATCCTCCTCCTCGCCGTTTTCCTCCTTATCGTTCATCCTCTTTCGTCCTTCCTCCCCCTCATGACTCCCCTCCTCCTCCTCCTCGTTTCTCCTCTTCGCTTCCTCATTCCTCCCTTCCTCCTCTTCCTCCTACTCCTCCCTCCTCCTCCTCCTCCTCCTCCTCCACCTCCTCCTGCTCGTTCCTCTCCGCCTCCTCCTCCTCCGCCGTTCTCCTGGGGCTCTGGAGATTCTTTTGTTCCCTCTCCTGCCTTCGTCCCTCCTCCTACTCCTCTCTCCTCCTCCTCCTCCTCCCTGCCTCTCCTTCTCCTTTCTCCTCCTCCTCCTCCTTTTCTCCCCTTCTCCCCCCTTTCCTCCTCTTCGTCCCTCCTCCTCCTCCTCCTTCTCCTCCCTCCTCCTCTTCCTCCTCCTCCTCGTCCTCCTCCTCCTCCTTCTCCTCTTCCTCTTCGTGAGAACAGGAAGGCGTAGAGCGTTCCGCTGGTCTACGGAGAGTTCTATGTATTTGTTTGTAGAATCGAAGAGACAATCAACCCTGGGGTAGATTCATTTTGCAGCCGATCTCCCACTCGACCTCTTGTCTAGTGCGCCTCTGCCTGGCGAGGCCCGCCGGCTGACCGACCGCGCGGGCGTCCGCCCTCGCCGCTGTTGAACAATCATTTGATCGTTGTCGGCCTCGGGGGGCCCTTCCCACGCCCCGAAACAGTGAAAGAAACGACTCAGGAATGGAACATCGGCTCCGGGGGAAGGATCGTCGGGTGGGGCCAGGACAGGGACAAAACGCAAATCGTTCCAGAGTGTTCTGGAACGCCTGTCAGAGCGTGCTGGAGCGATCCGAAAGGGGCGTAGCGCCCGATACATTTTCCAGAGCCGCTGGATCTCAGAGATTCCCGACGAGACCCCGACTTTAAACAACAATTCGGGCGTCGGACCTATGCGGGGCCAGCGGGGCCATCTCGGCGACCTGCCCGCGGCTGTGACCTGCAGGTGCCCACGGGGGGCGTGCGTGCGCCCCTCCTCGGCGCGCGGCACGGCATGGGGCGGTAGTGGCGTGCGCACTTGGCTTGGCATCGCTCGGAGGCGCGTGTGTTTCTCGGCGAGGCCGGTGCCCGAAAACCGGGACCATCTTGTGATGGGCTTGTTTTCCACCACCACCACCATAAGTTGGAGGAGGGAAAGAGGAGGAGGACGAGGAGGAGGAGGAGGAGGAGGAGGAGGAAGAGGACGGAAGAGGACGGAGAGGAGGAGGAGGACAAGGAGGAGGAGGACGAGGAGGAGGAGGAGGAGCAGGAGGTGGAGGAGGAGGAGGACCCCCTCCCCTTCCAATTTTTGCTGGTGGTGGCGGTGGGAAACAAGCCCATCATCTTGGAGCATCGTGGGCCATCCCGAGAACAGGAAGCGCGCACGAGGCCGAGCGGTGCACGGAAAGCGGGCGTCGGAGCGAAGGCGCGGGAGGCACAGAGGTGCTCTCCTGACCCCCGATCCTCTGTTGCGGGATCGGGGGGGAGCGCGGTGGTTGGAAGCCAGCACGGCTCCAAGAGCTCGCTCCTAAAGAATGCTTCTGTGCCCCGCCTTTTGCGCCTTCCTCCAACTCATTGACCCAGGCCTTCAAATGGGGTTCGAGCAGATGGGCGAAAAATCGCTGACGCATCGGCCATGCGGCTTGATGAGGAACCCAGTTTTCTCCGCGCCGAAAGTCGCCGATGCATCGTCGACGTCGCCGATATCGGAGATGCATCGGCGATGCGGCGCGATCCCCCGACCCTATCTACTCCGACCCCCGTTGGGAGGCCTCTCTGGTTTTTCCCCTTCAATGCCAGGACGCTGCGGGGGAGCGGGGGCTGGCGAGCTCACCAGACAGCCACAGCACGCAGGTGGAGGTGCCCGCCGCGACGCAAAGGGCCGCAGCGTGTGGTGTCAGTCTCCCTGGGCCAGCGCGCGCGCACGGCCTCAGAGGGGACCGCGCGCGGCGCGCCGTGCGGCCAGCGGTGCGCTCGGCTGGCGGGTGCGGGAGCGGTGTCCTCTGCATGACCGTGAGATTGACACGTGGCCGTCCTCGTGCTGCGCGTCTAGGATGCCGCCAGGCGCAGCTTCGCGGACACGTCAGGTCGGTACGATCGAGGTTGGTACGGGGTACGAAGGCCGAGCATGGATATGAGAGAACGCTTGCGCAATACTTGCGGTGCAGCCGGAAGGTTTCTGGCTTCGCAATGCTTTTATTTGCGCGCGCGCAGGAAGTTGAAAGGACCAGACAGCACGGGGATATGACAGAGTGAGTGAGCATGCTTGAATTGGGTGGGGGATGGACAGAAAACGGAGGAAGGGGAAGAGGACGATGGACAGAAAACGGAGAGAATGAAGGACCAGGACGGAGGAAGGGCGAAGAGGAGGTGTGGAAGGAGGTTTGAGAAGGGGTGCGAGGATGATGATGATGAGGAGGAGGAGGACGAGGAGGATATATTGAGCGGAACATGAGGAGCAGCGGAGCCAGTTGGAGGAGGAGGAGGAGGAGGAGGGGGAGGATGAGGTGAAGGGGAAGGAGGAGGTGAGAGACGAGTAACAGCATGATGATGTTCTTGTTGATGTTGATAATGATGATGCTGATGATGCTGATACTTGTGATGGTGCTGATTGTGATGATGATCGGTGGTGATGCTGATGACGATGCTGATGATATTGATGATGCTGATGCTGATGAGTATGTGTAGGATGCTGGTGATGATAAAGCTTATATAGCACCCCGCAATTGCGGATAAGAGTGAGGGGGCGTGCGCGGGCGACGCGGGCGTCGTCGAGCCGGCGGACCTCGTGGCCCCCACCTTCCCTGTCGATGGCGCTCTCCTCCTCCTCCTCCTCCTCCTCCTCCTCCTCCTCTCCTCCTCTTCCTCGGCCTCGTCCTCGTCGTCATCGTCATCGTCATCCTCCTCCTCCTCTTCTTCCTCGTCCTCGCTCTCCCCCCCTCGTCCTTCCATCATCGTCCTCCCATTGTCGTCCACCCCCTCATCGGCCTCCATCATCGTCCTCCCATTGTCGTCCATCATCATCATCGTCCTCCTCCACAATTACTCAATCTGAATACTACTCTCCCTCTTCCCCCGATGGCGGCCTGAAAGTATTAGACCCCCCCCCGTATTGTTTTTTACACACAGGATTCCCGGGAGTTGGGTTTTCGCTTGCGTTGTTTTCCAAAATGCTGCTCTCGCTGAGGCGCCGGCCTCATTTCTGCTCCCGAATCGTTCCGAATCGTGCTCCCGCTGCAGCGTGGGCCTCATTTTCGGATCGGTGTTTGGCCTCCGTTTTTCAGGATGGCGTTCTCGCCCCAGCGCGGGCCTCTTTCTCGTGCGCCCATCCGCCCGCCACCACCGCGCCGCACCACCACCACCACCACCACCACCACCACCACCACCACCACCACCCACCAGCACCAGCACCAGCACCACCACCCACCCACCACACCACCACCACCCACCACCACCACCACCACCACCACCACCACCACCACAACCACGCACACACGCACGCACGCACGCACGCGCACCACCACCCACTACGCACGCGCGCGCGGAGCCACAGGTCCGCTACGACACGCGTCCGCGGATAGAGAAAATCAGCGCCATGGTAAGGGATGGGAGGGAGGGGTAGGACGTCATATATGACGCGAGCGCACCTAGCTTGCCCTCCCTCCCCTCCTCCCCCCCCTCCCCCCCCCCTCCTCCCCCTCCTCCCTCTTCGTCCTCCTGCTCCTCCTCCTCCTCCTCCTCCTCTCCTCCTCCTCCTCCTCCTCCTCCTCCTCCTCCTCCTCCCTCAAGCCATTTCGGCCTGCAGGCGCGCGCGCGCGCCCGTGCGGGCCGAGGCTGCAGGGCGCGCACCATCGGCGGCGGCGGGCTGGGGCTCGCTGTACGCCGGCTCGCGGCTTGAGGGGGGCGGCAGCAGCCGCTGCAAAAGTCCCTGCAGCCCCAGCAGTACATGACCAGGGGCCGCGGCTGGAAGCGAGATGAGGAGGAACAGAGCTCGTGGGCGTCATGGGGTGCGCCCTGGCGCTCAACATCGAGTCTTCCAGCTGCAGGCCGCCCAACACAAAGGGCAAGAGGCACACGCAGTACCTGGTATGCCCTGTTTATCCTATGGGCAGCGGCAATTGGGTCTATTGCAATCGAGCAGATAAGCCTGGGTGGACCAACTGCAAGCCGTGCGGATACGAGTGGAAGGCACCCAGCGCTGCACCACGCGAACAAGCAGAAGACGGAGGAGCCTCGGATGCTGCCAAGGCAATGGTGGAGCTCCTCAGGAAGCAGTACGTCCTGGCGCAGCAGCAGAATGACCAAGTCAAGATGGACGAGATCCTGGCGGCGTGCCCAGAGGCCAAGCCGATGGACCCCGTCGAGCCCGCTGAGCCCTCCATGGGGCAGAAGCTCCAGCAGGCGGTGGTGGAGCTCAACAAGCTGCAGAAGCAGCAGGACAAGCTCGCCAAGCAGCTCAAGCGGGCCACCGAGTACCGCGACGACGTGCTCAACAGGATCAGCACCAACGTGGCCGAGCTTACGGAGGCAAAGCGGACATTCACGGAGGCAAAAGAAGGACTGGGTGGGGAAGATGAAGCACCTGAGGCTGAGAAGAAGCCAGATGATGAAGAACAGTTCCCTACCCTCGCCCAGGATGACCTGGCCATGCTGGACGAGAAGCAGCAGCAGGAGTACGAGCAGATCCAGAAAGATTACCAGCAGGCTAAGACGTTCATCAACGCAAAGAAAGAAGCTGTCCAGAATGCGAAGAAGGCGCTCGACGCGGCCAAACACATCCACGAGAAGGCTAGTACAAGAAGTCGCGGAGGCCAGGGCGAAGCTCGTACCGACCAGGCACCAGCGGCAGCACCAGTCCCTGAACCTGTCCCACCAGAGCAGCCAACTGGAGCAGGAAAGCCCATGGATCCTGAACTCAGGTTGGCAGCCAAGTTTGACCTCTCCAAGGATGACCAGGTCCAGACCTACCTCGCGGAGCTGGCCAAGATCAAGGGCAGGACCAAGGTCGCGTTGGCTACTAGGCAGGCACCGCAACCGCAGCAGGCAGCAGCAGCAGCAGCAGAAGCTAAAGGAGACGGAGTTGGAGGGTAGCCTGAACTCCACGCAGTGCTACTACGCGGCACTAGCAGAGCCAGCTGCGAAGGGGGGTGAGCCACAAGGGGTGGGCCACGAGCCGAGGAGCGGCAAATCCCCACTCGCAGCAGGCCTTCATCGAGGATCAAGCATCAACCCCAGGCCGGTGTACGTTAAGACGGTTTGGATCGACGACGAGGTCGACTACATCACCGAGAGTGCTATTACTCGCAGTGATGATGCTATGGCTACCGCGTCGTCTCCCTTTTCTACTTGCGGGAGCTCTACGGGCGCTACGATGGCGTCGGGCCCAGATCGTGCAAGGGCGCAGGATTCTGATTCAAAGTTCCCAGTCATCAACGGCACCAAGCAGAGCGAACTGAACGACGATGTCAGGGACGTTGTCAAAGTTTTCGCGGCCAACTGCACGCAGTGCAATGAGTCGGCCGCCAAGAAGTTCGTAGAGGACGAGAAGAGCGAGGAGTATGACATAATCGCATTTAATGAGCACCACTTGCGAGGGCCAGCGGCGGAGATCGAAGCTGACAGGCTCGTGCGACTGGGCTGGCGATCTCATGGGACTTGGACACCAGCTCGACAGTCGCCGACATCGAAGAAAGGGGCGCTAGGAGGCACCTGCATACTTCGTCGTCGGCATTTGGATACCCGCATTCACCTGCCAGACGCGCAGGGCCACAGCATCTTCGCCAAGGACTTCCACGACATCACCATCGTCAAGTGGCAGCTCAAAGGACAGGAGATAGCAGTCATCACGGCATACCTCACGGCATCGATTGGATTTACGGGTGAGAATATTCGCAAGATGAAGCACTTCTTGCAGCTTACGCGCAGCCTGGGCACCACACCCTGGATTATCTGCGGCGACTTCAACAACGCACCCCAGGAGCTCGAGGCGACGTCATGGCTAAGGCGACTCGGAGCAGCGATTGTGGTGCCACAGCACGTTAGTCATACGTGCAGCAGTGGGTCGGGCAGGATGATAGACTACGCGTTGGCCCCTCCCGTCTTTCGCTCGCTCCTGAAGGCAGTGCGAGCACAGCATGACGTCCCATGGTCACCGCGCATAGGTATTGTCATAGAGATCTTTGCCAAGCCGAACATGATCACCATCCGAAAGCCCATGCTCCCGGCTAAGAAGCCCATCCCTGCCGCGGAGGCGCGGCGAGAGAAGGGCATTAAGAGGAAGCAAAGGGACAGACAGCAGCACCAAGACATGTCCAAGTACTTCGACTCAGAACTCCTGGGCGACACGCTCCTGGACGCGTACTACACCGAGACCGTGACTACGAAGTGCGACCCGACCATCTGGGGCGAGTGCCGCGAGGAGGGGGCATCTTGCCAAATCCGAGACTCCCCCAGGTGGGTTCAAGACTCGCTGGCATACAAGCAGAACCCAAGGATGAGCGACTTGCCCGGCAAATCATACGGCAAGTGGGCGAATGCAGCGGAGAGGGCGCTTGCTACGGTCTCGCAGAACCCGATCAAGGCTGCGGCGGGGAAGGGGCAACCAATCCGCTATCGCGCGGTACCTTTCCCACAGCACGTTGCGAGCAAGCAGTTCGAATACACCGCGGCAGATAGACAACGACAAATCAGTACTTTATGGTCGAAGTTATATCAGCGATGCCACGATGGAGAACTTTTACTCAGGAGGCGCCCGATCGATAGCCAGAAGCACCTGGAGACGATCAGCAGTATCATCAGGACCTATGTCAACCATTTGGACGCCTTCGACACAGCAGAAGGGGACGAAGCAGCACGCCTTGATGGACAAGCGAGGCGCCAAGCGTCCCGCGCCACCAACCTCCGTCACGACCCTGAGCCTGAGAAGACCATCGAGAATATCCAAGAGTGGCAGGAGGCGACAGAGTTGACGAGGGCACGCATGGACTGGCACATGCGGACCCCTTGGAAGAAAGTCAGAGAGCAAGTTGGACAATGGACCAGAACGGCGTTGTCAGGCAGCATGAATGCGGCCCACAATTACATCAGCAAACATGAACTACGAGACTTACCAGACACAGCAGTGGACCCAGCAACGAAGGAGGAGACGGGCGCTCTACGCGACGCTACGGCATGTCGTGCAGGGATTTGGCAGACGAGGTGGCAGAGGCACAACAGCAGTCAGAAGTTGGAGGAGGCGATGGCAGACTTAAGACGAGCGGCGCAGGACGAACTGCCCCAGCGGGGGTGCTATAATGTTGACGACCTGGAAGCGGCGCCCCCGAAGTTCCGACCTACTACAGCGCGTGGTCCTGACCAATGGCAACCACCCGAGATTAAGGCCCTGCCGCCCGATGCCAAGCGCATCCTGGTTTTCGTGATCAGCTCGTGCGAGCGGAACTTATGCTGACCACGCCAATTTTACCACCTGTGGTACCACCTATTGGTCAAAGCTGGCTCTAACACTGCTGGCGAGGAACGGCCAACTGGACTACTACCATTCCCAATACGATTGCGGGGCAGAATGGCAAAGAGCGAAATGCCAGATTGGTGTGCGGAGAAAGCGGGCTACTGGGATGCGGCAATCCAAGGACCTTCGGCTCTTCGTGCAGCGTTACTTTCTAGGTCGCTCGACGGGACCAGCGCGAAGCTCAAAGGGTCGCTCTATGGCACATTCTACTTGGACTTAGAAAAATCCTACGACAGCGTGGATTTGAGCATCTTGATCAAACGAGCCATGCAGCTTGACTATCCGAAGGTCAACTTATACATGAGTATGTTAATGTATCTATCCCCGCGCGCGGCACGCGCATGCAGCGATCATGCTGAACCAAATGCACATGGAAGGGCATAGTGGCTGGATGTGCAGCGGCAAACCACGCGGCGAGGGCCATGATCTACATTATCTGGGACATCACCCACAATGCGGCGCCGCTTGCCATCACGAGGGAGTTTGTAGACGACTTGCACACGAGAGCCGAAGGTCAACCCGAACAGTTCCAGGAGCAGTTCCTAGTGTCGGTCGGTGTGCTTGTGCAGGCTTGCCTGGACTCAAAGCTGGCGGTCTCAGGAAAGTCAGCGCTCCTCACGAACTGCGACGCGACCAAGAAGTGCATCGCGAAGCACCTCAAAGGCAAGGGCATCAGCATTGAGACTCCCAAGTTCGTCAAAGACCTGGGCATAGAGGCGGCGCTGGGAAGGCAGCGCGTCACAGCCACGCGAACTACCAGAACTAAGCAGGCAAAGATACGCGCAAAGCGTGCCAGGATCTTCATCAAGCAGAAGGGCACATGGCGGCGAAGGACGGCGATGCTCTTCAATTCCAATCTGAGGGCCAAGCAGAGCTACGACTGGCCAGTTTCAGGGCTCAGTCCAACTGCAGCGCGTGAAGCGCGAGCTCAGGCGGCAGAGATGGTTGGATTTACAACTGGCGGCAGATGCACATCAACAACCAACGCCATTTTGTTACGGCGAGAACGAGCCAGCTACAGCATGCCTACAGCGACAAGTACGTGAATGGGTACAGATGTGGCAAAAGGATACCCCAGCACATCAACGACTACGACAAGGCTGGCAGGCTAATATCGAACGCCTGGCCCAGATGCGAACCCGTGGAATGTGGAACTCAGTGACTGGACCAATGGGTGCACTTATTCTCTCATTGCAGCAGCTGGGCTGGAATCCACGCATGCCAGATGAGTGGGGTGATGCTAGTGGCGGGACGTGGAGGTTCCAGAGCGAGGGAGTGCTCGACTTTCGCGACATCATGAAGTCCATCACCAGGGACATGCAAGCTCAGCTCTGGACCAAAGCAGCGGACCAGTACTACGGTAAGGGCATGCAGCACGGGATGGACACCGCCATGCTCAAGAATACGCTCCAGAAGCTACGAAAAGCTGACCGAGTCCAAGAAGCAGGCGCGTTAGAAGCACTTGCTTGCGGCACGATATGGACAGGACAACGATGTAAAGCAGCAGGATACCAGACAGATGGAGTTTGTCCGCGTTGTGCTAAGGCGCCTGACACGCTGAAGCACAGGATCTACGAGTGCGACATGAACGACAACCTCTTGCTTGACGCGGTGGTCAAGCCACAGTCGTTATGTCAGAAGGCCTTAGAGGAGATGCACGACAACCCAGAGACGGAGGCATACTGGCTACGAGGACTACCCCCCAAGCACATGAATCCTGTACCTGATCCACCAACATGGGGCGATTGGAATGGCAGCTATTGGACGACATCAACAAGAGGGCCCAACTTAATAGCAAGCAATTTGGTCACGATGGGTCCCGTTCAGTGCAGCATGGCCTTCGTAGATGGATCAGGCACCAGCAACGACATGCGCATCAATCGAGTGGGATGGGGCCTCACATTACAGCTACGAGATGAACGATGGAAGCGGCCAGGGCAGGCGCACATGTGGTGCCCCAGCGCCCTCGTGGCACAAGGGGGCCCAACTGGGGTGTGCCAGGAAACAGAGGATATTGCACCAACGGACACAGAAGCGGAGGAGCAGAGAAAGGGCATCATGCACGACCTTGGCATATGGACAGCTACATGGACGGTATACATCGACCTAGACGAGACCGGGAACCAAGCTAATTGGAAGATGTGGTGCGAACCGTACATGGAAAGCTACTTGCGACAACCAGAACAAGCAGCACTACGACAATTACTCAAAGCAAGATACCAGACCCGAAGCACTAGCCAGATCGCGAAGGACCTTTGTGATATGCAATGGAGATCGTCCAAGAAGAAGCGGAAAGACGTGCACGACTACTCCCTCACCCTTACAGGCTGGGAAAGAGAAGCATACATCTCCCATAGGTTCGACAGCGTAGCGGACATCAAGGCCAAGTTCCGCGAACAATTGCAAGACCGAGCACCCATTTTCGACCAGGAAATGCCTGACAATTACGAAGACAATGATGAAGACCGACCAGCAGCCATGCATGCGGTGGCCCACGAGATCTACAAGGCCAGCCTGCCGAACGACAGCACGGGCTTCATCGAAGGCACAGACCACATCGGGTTTTATGGCACCGTAGATAAAGAACAAAGTGTTCCCGCAGCTGAACATGCAGGACTATTCTGGGCTTTGGCGCTGACGCGAGGCCCGCTATTGATCATCGCGGACTGCCAGCTGGTTATGAATGGTTGGACCCTCAAGTATTACGAGCAGCCCCAAGGAGCCCAGCGACCTTGGTGGGAAAGAATAAAGCTTATGCTCAGCAGGCGGTCTGGCGGTGTGCGCGTCCAGAAGTGCTCGTCCCACCTCGACGGCGACTCGGTTAAGCAGGCGGGCCAAGAGTTCCACATCAGCATGGGCAATGAGATGGCGGGTGCGTTGGCGCAGCGAGGAGCAGAAGAGGCAATGGCAGAAATACGGCAGGAGGTCAAGACGTTGGTGGAAGTGGAGACTACACTTATGAGGGCCCAACGGCGGGCAGCAGCGATCATCCACGATGTGTGCAAGGATGCGGACCCCGCCAAGCTTGAGGGGCCCAAGCAGATGCCCAAGAAACTAGCAAAGGAAAGAAGAGATCAGATCGAGAAGGAGTCAGGCCACAGAATGCGAAAGAAGCAAGGGCAATGGGCATGCCAAGAGTGCTCGCTAACCCCAGGCAAGTACAGCGTGGTCGACTGGATGAAGGGTAACGTGTGCGTCGGGAGGCAGTACGAGACACACCGAGCAGATCATGGACATGCAGTCCGTGTTCCCAGCAATGAGCTGATTGAGATCAAAGTCAAAGTGATCCACGACAGCCACAGCATTGCAGTTGCCCATGGGCAGTTCTGGCGCTGGAATTGTGCCGCGGTGGCTTCGCACAACGACTGCGGACCCGGCAGAGTGAACCTACTGGCGACGGAGTGCAGGAACAAGATCACGCAGAGCGGGGCTACTGTACTTCGTCGGCTACGACAAGGACTACCACCTAAGGCTGGCCAGAATTGGCCAGATGGGACGATCCCGCCTAACGGCGGGCGGCTACCACGAGTTGCAGCTGGGCGAAGACCTCGTGGTTGACCTCATGGCACGGGGCTACGGCCCCGCAGAGAGATTCTGGCCTGGAGTGCCAGTGGGGTGGGCGCCCGCCCTGCTCAGGGGGCGGGGTCGCGACCCCTGAGAGCCCGCGCGGCCTTCGCGGGCGGGGGCCGCGGCGGCCGGGTCGACCGCGGAGCCCCTCGCTCGAATGTCCTCGAATGTCCTCCTCCTCCTCCTCCTCCTCCTCCTCCTCCTCCTCCTCCTCCTCCTCCTCTTTCTCCACATTCTCCTTGCATCCTCTCTTCTTTCGCGTCCTCCTCGTCCCCTGTTTACTCCTCCTGCCTCCCCCTCCTTTCCCAAGATAACGGCAACGCAATCTTTTTTTCCACTTTATGCTCCCCGACTTCTCTGATCAAGGCAACTCGCCAGGGCAAAGTTGCTGGACGGGCTGGTGTGGATGCGCGGGGCTTGAAGAGGTCGTTGCGGGCTCAGGCGGCATGCAGAAATCCGCCGCCGCGCTTGTGCGGCATTGGTTTGTTCAGTGACTGTGGTTTGGGTCGTGGGCTCTCCACCTCCACCTGGAAGGGATGCAAAAGCAGCCCGCCGCAAGCGCCGAACACATTGGTTTGTACACTGAACGTGGAATGGGTCGCGGGTGGGCCGCGGGTTCTCCACCGGGAGCGGATGCAAAAGATGCCTGCCGCAGGCGCCGAAAAAATTTGGTTTGCACCCTGAACGTGGCCGCTGGTGGGCCGCGGGCTCTCCATGAAACGAGTGCAAAAGATGCCCGCCGCAGGCGCCGAAAAATGTGGTTTGTACCCTGAACGTGGTTTGGGTCGCGGGTTGGTCGCGAGTTGGTCGACGGGTGGGTCGCGGGCTCTCCACCTGGAAGGAATGCAGAAAAACCCGCCGCCGGCGCCGAACATGGTGGTTTGTACCTTGAACGTGGTTTGAATCGAAGGTGGGTCGCGGGTGGGTCGCGGGGTGGGTCGCGGGTGGGTCGAGGGTGGGTCGTGGGTGGGTCGCGGGCGCGGGTGGTCGCGGGTGGGTGGGTCGCGGGTGGGTCGCGGGTGGTCGCAGGTGGGTCGCGGGGTGGGTCGCGGGTGGGTCGCGGGTTGGGTCGCGGGTGGGTCGCGGGTGGGTCGCGGGTGGGTCGCGGGGTGGGTCGCGGGGTGGGTCGCGGGGTGGGTCGCGGGTGGGTCGCGGGTGGGTCGCGGGTGGGTCGCGGGGTGGGTCGCGGGGTGGGTCGCAGGTGGATCGCGGGGCGGGTTGCGGGTGGGACGACGACAACAAACAACAACAACAACAAACAACAAACAACAACAAACAACACCAAACAACAACGAGAATCCGCACCGCGGATTCCCAGTTCAGCCACGCACCCAGGGACAGTGTGTGACCGTTCGGCCCTCTCACTCTGATCATGATGAGGACGGTCGGAGATGACGATTATGATGGCGATTATGATGCTGCTGATGATGCATATGCTGATTATGATGATGATGCTGGTGGTGATGCTGATGAGGAGGAGGAGGAAGCTTGTGATAACCCCATGCCCACGATAATAATGTACCCTCCTATGCACACAAGAGTTGATTATCCACGGCCAATAAGAGTTTGGTCGGGGGCGCCGGGGCGCGGAGGCCGAACTTCACTATCACCTGAAAAGTTCGCCATCGAGGTTATTTCCTTCTTATGTTGAGATAGAAACACGAAGCGAAACGAACACGCGTTTTTTTTGTTTTTATATTTTCCTAATGTCTCAAGCGAAACCAGCAATTTTGGGAGGCAGTCTCAAACGAAACGATCAATGTTTCAAGGATGTTTCGAGCGGAGCCAGCCATTCTTCGATGATGTCTCCAGCGAAGCGAGAAACTGGTCGAGGATGTCTCAAGCGGAACAAGCATATATTCGAGGATGTCCCAAGCGGAACTAGCATACACTGAAGGGCGTTTCGAGCGAAACAATACGTTTCTTAACGATGTCTCCTTCTCATCTCCTCCTCATCCTCCTCCTCCTGCCCCTGGCGCCCTGAACTTGTTTATCGCTGTGGTTGATTATCCGGGGAAAACGAGGCAGATGAGCCACCCTACACGAGCAGATGAACACTTAATTCCCCTTTAAGCGCTTACAAATAAAATCTCATTAGTTTTGAACTTTGGATGTTTTCCTCCTCCTTCTCATCTTCCTCTCCTCTCTCTCTTTCTCCGTCTCTCTCTATCTTTTTTTTTTCTGTTTTTCTCAACCTCTTTCTCTCTTTCTCTCTGTCTCTCTATCTGTCCTCTGTCTCTCTTTTTCTTTCTCTTTCTTTCTCTCTCTCAACCTTTCTCCTTCTTTCCGTGCCCCCCTGAACTTTTTCATCGTTGTGGTTGACTATCCTGGGAAAACGAGGCAGATGAGCTACCCTACACGAGCAGATGAACATCTTAATTTCCGTTAAGCGCTTACACATAAAATCTAATCGGTTTCGTTTGGGCGGTCCTCGACGAGCACGCTCGTCGAGGACCGTCCAAACGAAACAAACACGTTCCGTGAAGACGTCTCAAACGAAACGAGCAGTACAAAGGAATTCTCAAGCGATGCAAATACATATTTCGAGGATGTCTCAAGCGAAACGAGAGATTTGTCCAGGATGTCTCAAGCGAGACATGCCATTGTTGAGGATGTCTCAGAGAGGACAAACAGCCAAGGATGTCTCAAGATATCCTCGGCTTTGGTTCTTCTGTTAACATCTTTATGCTGGCCTCTGGTGGATACTTTTTTTATCGCACCGTAACCGCCGAACTTAATTCTCCCAGGGGGGTTATTATCGGCTGTTTGGGGTTATGATTGTAACGATGATGATGATAATTGTGATAACGATGATGAGGATTGTGATGGTTATTGTGGACGGATGGTGATGCTCACGATGATGATGGTGTTGATGATGATGATGACGGTGATGCTGCTGATGACGATGATGATGTTGCTGCTGATGATGATGGTGATCGTGACCATTCTGATGATTATGATGACGATGCTGCTGATGCTGATGACGATTATGATGGCGACGGTGATGATGCCGATGACGATACTGATGCTGCTGCTGCTGATGATGATGATGATGCGGCTGCTGATGATGATAGTAAGACTGCTGATGACTATTCTGATAGTGCTCGTTCTGGTAATGATGTCGATGCAGATGATTACGATAACGATGTCGGTGCTTGCTAATGGTGGTGAAGATGACGACGATGCCGATGACGACGTCGATGATGACGGCAAGGCTGGTGATGAAGATGATGATGATGATGATGATGATGATGATGATGATGCTGATGATGATGATGATGATGCCTTTGGTGATGATGCCAGGGAGGAAGGGTGCGGGCAGGGAGGATACGTACAACGCGGCAGATACGACGCCTTTTATGTGGGAACGGGAGGACGTTCAGGAGGGCGACGAGGGACGATGGTTATGATGATCATGATAATGATGCTGATGTTGATGACCGTGTTGCTGATGATGCTGTTGATGATGATGGTCATGCTGATGATGATGCTGATGGTGATGCTGCTGTTAATGATGGTGATGCTGAAGGTGCTGCTGATGCTGATGATGATGCTGATGTTGATGATGATTATGCTGCTGCCGATGATGATGATGATGATGATGATGATGATGGTGATGATGATGATGATGATCATGATGGTGATAATGATGATGATGATGATGATGATGATGATGATGATGGTGATGATGATGATGATGATGATGATGATGATAATGACAGAGCTGATGAATATGCTGCTGTTGATGATGATGCTCATGCTGCTGATGATGATGATGATTTCGGTGGTGGTGGTACTGAGGACAATGCTGATAACGAGGATGACGAGGTTGATGCCGACACTGATGATTATTGTGATGATGATGACGATGCTGCTGCTGATGATGATGCTGATGATGATGATGATGCGGAGGAGGAGGATGAGGAGAATGAGGAGGATGAGCAGGGGGAGGCGGATGATACGTATACGAGGAGGAGAAGGAGGAGCAGACGGAGACGCAGTGGCATGGAGGGAGCTGGGGGGGCGCCGCGGAAGAACAGTAGGGAGAAGAGGACAGATGAGGGAGGATGAACAAGAGAAGCAAGGGAAAGAGGAGGGGGTGAAAAGGGCGGGTGGGAATGGGGCGGGGTGAGGGGGGGTGCTGGAGGGGGGACCTGGCAAGCAGGAGGAAATGCCGGGCGTGGCGCGACGCTGAGGCGAGGCAGCCAAGGCAGGTTTGCGAGGCGACCGCGGCGTATTGCGAAGGCCTTGCGGCAGGGGCCGTCGACCCTGAAGGGGGACGACGACGACGTTTGTGATATCAAACGGAAAAGTCGCACCTACAAGCTGCACGCGTTGTTGCGAATCCTTCCTTCATCGCCCTCTACGACAAGGGGCGCAGCCAATGGGGATGCGTGCCACTTGTGGGTTTAGGCCCGAACTTCGTCTTGACGTGCCGCGTGCAGCTCGCAATCCAAGCGCAGACCGATGGGGAGCGCGGGGGATGGCGCAGGACATAGGAGCTCGCCGTGCACAGGCCGAGCTCACCGCGCCCGCATTACCATCACCATCAGCATCATCACCATCCGCATCATCTTCATCACCACCACCATCACCAGCAGCATCGTCATCATCATCGTCATCACCGCCGTCATCGCCATTTCATCACCGTCGTCATCATCGCCGTCGGCGGCATCATCATGATCATCATCATCGTCATCGTCGTCGTCATCGTCATCGTCATCATCCCTCGTCGCCCTCCCGAACTCCTCCTGTACCTATCGGGAGGCTTCACATCTCCTTCTTCGGGCCCTCCCTCTGTTCCTTGTCCTCAATTTACCGAATCAGGCCTCCCAGATGGTGTCCGAGCGGATGGGGTCGGAGGATTGCGCCGCATGGCCGATGCATCGTCCGTGTGATGAGGAGCCGATTTCTCCGCGCCGACGTCGCCGATGCATCGCCGACGTTGCCGATATCGGGGATGCTTCGGCGATGCGGCGCGATCCTCCGACCCCATGTAGCTTGACCCATTTTGGGAGGCCCGTATGGTTCTTTCCTTTTTTTCCGGGACACTTGAGGGGGTGGCGGGGACTGACGAGATCACCGGACAGC